CTATTATTGTTCAAAAGTTTATAATGGTCTCTATTATCCATGAATGAGTGAGATCATGTGGTATTTTTCCTTCATTGACTGGCTTATTTCACTTAGCATAATGCTGTCCAGCTCCATCCATGCCGTTGCAAATGGTAAGAGTTCCTTCCTTTTTAGAGCAGCATAGTATTCCATCATGTTGTTATCTTTCTTAAATCACATTTTCCCCACTTGCTCTTTTAAAAAAAGCTTTTAATTTACCAAAGAAGTATAATGAACTTCCATGTGCATTGAACTCGGCTTTAGCGGTTCAACAGTTTCCAAGTGTGGCCAACCTAGTTTCCTCCCTATCTGACCATCCACATCCCCAACCCTGAATTCCTTTGAAGCAAATTCCAGACATTTATTTCACTTGTGACTATTCCAGTATGTGTATCTAAAAGATAAGGACTTTTAAAATGCAGTTCCATTATATCTAAAATTTTATAGCAATTCCCTTAGTGACGAATATCCAGTCACTGTCCTCATGTCTAGTGTCTTATAAATCCATACTTTAAAAACAGTTTGGCCCGGCCGGCATGGCTTAGTGGTTGAGCATCTACTGTGAACCAGGAGGTTACCATTCCATTCCTAGTCGTCAGGGCATTTAACCAGGTTGCGGGATCGGTCCCCAGTGTGGGGCATGCAGGAGGCAGCTGATCAATGATTCTCTCTCATCATTGATGTTTCCTATCTGTCTCTCCCTCTCCCTTCCTCTCTAAAATTAATAAAAATATATTAAAAAATAAAAATAAAATTTGTATCAGGGTCCAAATAAGGTCTCTACATTGCAATTGGTGGATAGCTCTTGATTTCAGATTGGGAGAGGGGGAGAGAGATAGAAACATCAATGATGAGAATCATTGATTGGCTGCCTCCTGCACGCCCCGCACCGGGGGTTGAGCCCACAAGCTGGGCATGTGCCCTTGACCAGAATCGAACCTGGGACCCTTTAGTCCGCAGCTCTATCCATTGAGCCAAACCAGCTAGGGCTGGTGGATAGCTCTTTAAATCACACTACTCTAAAATGTTGCTATAGAGCAGCGGTTCTCAACCTGTGGGTCGCGACCCCTTTGGGGGTCGAACCACCCTTTCACAGGGGTTGCCTAAGACCATCAGAAAACATATATAATTACATATTGTTTTTGTGATTAATCACTATGCTTTATGTTCAATTTGTAACAAAGAAAATACATCCTGCATATCAGATATTTACATTACGATTCATAACAGTAGCAAAATTACAGTTATGAAGTAGCAACAAAAATAATTTTATGGTTGGGGGTCACCACAACATGAGGAACTATATTAAAGGATTGTGGCATTAGGAAGGTTGAGAACCACTGCTATAGAGTATAGGGGCCCCATTTTTCTCTTCGTAAAATGTATTTGTTGAAGAAACCAGTGTCCTTTAGAGTTTGCCAGAGTCTACATTTTGCTTATTGCAGCCCCTGCTGTTCCTGTGTTCTCTCAATTTCCTGAAAATTGGTAGTTGGCTCTTGTTTTTTTCCAATTCCTTACTGATTACAACAGTAGAAAAATAAACATTTCTTATGAGTCAGGGCTGATGCTTCATAAATAAGGGGTGAGAGGAAACAACTTAAGGCCTGGGTAGGACTTATTGCATAAATAAGGTCTGGGCCCCGGACAGGCTGGGGGGTGGGTCCAGGTTCTCAGATGGG